CAACCTTAGCTATATCATAGGTACAAGGAATGGGGCAAGTGTAAGAAGGTGTAGGTCTTAAATCATCTAATTCATCCTAAAGAATCTTAAGATCGGTAAAATAGATAGATAAAGATCTATCACCCTGGTGAATGGAATTCAAATCACGGAGAAGATCAGAGAAGCGAAAATGGTTACCTTTAGTAAATCTTTCGCGAAGATCCTCCCAAAGATCGAAAGCAGAATCAAAGCATATAATGCTTTGTGCGATATGTGGGGAAAATGTTCAATTAATCCAAGAGAGAACCATACTGTTTGCATGATCCCAGAGTTCATAGTTGGGGTCAGATGTAGCTAGTTCGGGAAGATTACCATTGATGAAGAAGAGCTTGTTCTTGGAGGTCAAAGCCCGCTGCATCGATTTGCTCCAATTGTGATAGTTGTTGTCGTCCAAAGGTGGAGCAACGATGGTGGCGTTTGGGTTTTCACCAGGATGAAGATAAAATGGGTTGTGAGGGTTCAAGATAGGATCTGGTGTATCAGTCTTAGGGGAATTAGGTTTTGTGGGGGTTTCTTTGAGAGATACTGTAATACCCCATATTTTCCCCTAAGATTTGTCGGTTCATGTTGCATTCCATTGCATGTTACATTGCATTTAACCAGTCGCTAACATGTTTGTGTAGCTGGTTTAATCTTGCAGGAAAAAGCTCCTTGTGCGCAATTCAAGCGGTGAAGGGTAAAACAGTCATTTATTCGCAACTGGCCGTCAAATTACGAATTTTGAGTTGTGATCAGGAAATTTGGGCCGTTTGATCTGGTTGATGAGAATTGATTGGAAATTATGTCGGAGACGGGATTAGTCGGACAAATTGGATAAATTGGGAATTAAAAGAAATATATAGGATTTTAGTAGTCTTGTCATCTCATTTTAAAAATAAAAAAATAAAAATAATTTCATTGTTATTTTCATTTTATTTCTTTCAATTTCGTTGCATTTTTTTATTAATCTAATTTCATTTTAATTTCATTTTCAAGTTAATTACATTCTTAATCAAAACATATTCCATTTTTTTATTAGTAATTTCGTTCCATTTCGTTTTAAGGGAAAAATCAAGTTCATTTTTTTGCAAGTTTATGTTCATTTCATTTAAATCAAATCTTATTGCATTTTTAAATGTTTATTGATAAAATAATTTTTGTTTCTTTTTGACAGGGGGTTTATTCCATTTGTTATCAAAAGAAATGATAATGGTAGTTTTACTTTATTTTTATTGTTATTCCCTTATAATATATGAAAAGAGATTAACTTTATTATAATAAATAAAATTTACATTTTATAATATCCAAAAACACATAAATTACAAAAACATTTAATTACATTTTACATAAAATAATAAATTCCTAAATTTCTTCCGGTTATTCGATTTTCTTCGACTATTCCCGAGTTTCTGACTCTTCTGATTATCCATTTCGAACCTGCAAAGAATAAGCAAACAAGCGGTTTATCGGTTAATGTTCCTGACACCCTCAGAGTGGTATCATCATCGGGTGTCGGGAGGGTAACAGATTAATCCGAAACCGACTCCCGATTGTATTCCGACCAAAGGCAAAGTTCAGGTAATAATCTGTTCCAATGAGGTCACCGAGGAAGAGAGATGATAAAAAGTTCTTTTGGGAAAAAGTTGGTTTGAAAAGTGCTCATCCAGAAAAGTGTTTTTTTTGAAAAAGCACTTATTTTCAAAAAGTGATTTTCCAGAAAAATGTTTTTCCAAAAACGGCCTTAACGTTTTTCCAAGGTTTCAACGGATTCAACCGTGGTCCAACATGCAAAACAAAATTTTCCAGAATCACAAACAACGTTTCCGCATCAGCGAGTCAAAGCAACAGATCATCCGAAAATTCCTGCAAGAAAGTCGCAGCAACAGATCCAAAAGCCAGCAAAATCACATCAAAACGAGTCAACAAATTCATCGACCATTTCCTGATGAATCTCCTAAAAATAAGTTCAACAGAGAAGTTAGGAGAAAGTTAAAAGCCCAAATCAAGATCGAAAACAAGATATAAATCATCAAGGTTTTTTCAGAAGGGAGGGCGAACAAAAAAAAACGGCGAACCCTCAGTGCGAAAAACGGCAAGACTCAGGATCTTTTTGGGATTCATCATCGTCTCTGAAGAACAAAAACGGCGGCAACGCAATCGAAAGGTTCAGAGAAACTCTTCGAGTTTCATCTTCATCACCTCGTAAAGAAGAAGAGGATAGAAGTATTAACGACACCATCAAAGAAGTTCACCAACAAAGCGGATCGGCAGCGACGGAACCTACAAGGGTTCGAACACCGGCCAAGCTTCACCGGCGGGCAATCAACTCCTTAAGCCTCAGTTTTCTAGTGACATCATCGGCGGAAGAAGCGAAACTCATAGCATCAGCCTCGTCAGACATTAACGGCGGACGAATAGCAACGGTCATCACCGTTAAGAAGCGAGAACGTAAGCTTTCGTCATGATAACTGGTTTTTTTTCTGTTTCTTTCGTGTTTCAGGTGAGAGGGGGAAGAGACGGAAACATGCAATCGAAAATGAGGCAGAGATAAGCTTCGATTAGAGCTTCCATGGCCAAGCGGCAGCGGTACCTCGCGAGGAAGAAGAAGAGGTTTCCAAGAAAAACCTAAACAAGTGAATAAAGACTACAGCCCCATCCATTGAATGTTGTTTTGTTTTCCTTATTTCTTTTCCTTTTGTTTTTCGTTTTGTATTATTTTATGATTATTATTATCGTTTTAATATAATTATTAATAATGAGGGATGATACACCTTTTGTCAATTTAATTACATCCTTTTTGTGTAACAAATAAAATAAAAAAAGAAGCATTTAAAATCAAATTTCATTATTTAACATTTAAAATAAATTCACTTTACATTAAAAATTAAAGTTCACTGCTTTGGCATTAAAAAATTAACATTTATTTTTCGCATTAAAAAACTTAAAATTCATTTTTTGCATTAAAAAATTGAAATTCATTTTTTGCATTAAAATTAATGTTCATTTTTTTTTACATTAAAAATTAAAAATCTTGTTTAGCATTTAAAATTTAAAAGTATTTTTTAGCATTTAAAATTAAAATCATTTGTAGCATTTTAAAATAAAAATCTCCTAACCATTTGTCAACTGCCCATCATAGCTTTCATCGTCCCTCGTTTGGCTTTGACTAGTAATCCTTTTGGTTTTCGTATTGTTTTTCAGTTGTAATTATGCGAGGCTATCATCGCAATTATTTATTTTTGTATTTTTTTGAGATTTGTAATTTACGCGAGTAATCGTCGCGATGCTTTTTGCTTTACCGCTTTCCTTATTTTCGTACTTTAATTCTGCCGTATAATATTTTGTCTTTTTGCATAACTTTTACCGTTAATAACCTTCCGAAGGATTAGGTCTAAACCGTTTGACCGCCGAGTTAATAGTCTTAACCCTTGACCGTTTCTAAACCCTAATCAGCCTAGGTGTCCCGCCGTGGACGAAAATGCCCTTTACCCTAGCATTAGGTCAAAGAGTCGCCATACTCTGTTTTAGGGTTTCCCGCCGTGGAACATTTAGTCAACCCTAATTTAACCCTAAATTCCAACTTACAAATTCAACGTAGAAATAGGAGTTTTAAGACTCCACGTAAGCGCTTTCCTTAAGAAACGTTTACTCCCCTTGAAACCTTGACCACAATCAAGACGTTTCTAACCTCCCTTTCGAGGGGAACTACGATTACTCTAATTCCATTCCCTATTCAGGATACGTAGGCACAAGATGCGAATCTTGCCGAGTAAACTTAGGACTAACCCTTAGGTTTTTAGGTCACTCTATCCCTTAGCTCATTATATATACTTAAAGCAGATAATAAAAAATAGTAAAAATAAACAAAAGGTTCCTGTAGAGTACTACAGAAGTTTAGGGTGCTAGCACCTTCCATAAGCTTAACCAACCCCTTACCTAGGTCTCTCCCCGCATTGTGTTTATGATGCAAAAATAAGTTTTTCCTCTTTTGACCTTTTCCTTCGGATAAATCAAAGAGCGATTGTGAATCAAAAATTGTGATTCAAACTAATTAATAATTTGGTATCCTATTTCCACCGCAACAAATACATTGTCATCGTCGGAAGCCATGGAAAGAAAGGAGAAACTAAGTTATGAGCGATAGCGGAAGGGAAAGACGATGAGGATGAAAAGATTAAGGGTTTAGTCAGCTGATACCATATTGCATTGTATGATAACAAGTCATCGCGGAAAAAAAAATTCAAAAGAAAGAAGAAGAAGCAAAAATAAAATGTGAATATGTAATATTGATTATTGTTACGATACAAAGAAGGCCTTAAGCCTTATATATAGTAGCAAGGCCCATTAACATGAGAAAGCCCAAAAGAAAAGGCCCAAAAGAAAATAAAGAGGACCTAATAACTATAACACTTAGATATACTGTTGCATTGATCATAGCCTAAACCCCCCAACAAACTCATAAGTACTTTATTTGAGAGTGACTGTTTATATCCAACCAACCCAATATAGATGTTCAGATCACACCAAACACATTTCATTCAAAATACAGGTGTTTAAAGTTTAAACTTTAGTAGTTTCTACTTCACTATACCCCCACACAATTGTGTCCCGTCCTTGACAATTTCATGTCTTACCAAATAAACTTCATCATTTAATAATCCCACGAAACGAATCTGGAACTTCTACTATTGTCCAATGTCCATTGCATCTAAAATTTGAGAAATTGAGATGATAGTAACTCGGCAAATATAAACTCTAATTTTTGCCTGAGAATTTCTAAAACTATCATTCATTAGGATCAGAAATAAATTAACTCAACCGTCCATAAATTGTTGACATTATTCCAGCAGTTTTCTGGGAAACAGTTACATACAATACAAATGTCCAAATATTTCCATCAAACTTTATTTTTATGGCACAAAACCATACCAGTTCTAGAGAATTTTACAAAAGCATGCAATTTAAATTTTAGGTAAAAGAAATCATGATGAAGCACTGTCATTCTTTGTGATGGGCAAGTTCCCATCATAAGTGCATTTGAAGACATCTGGTTTCCTCACAAGCCGAGGTCCAACTGGTACCTTGTTATTTTTCGGACGAATATCCTGCAAAATCATAAGCCACAAAAACATGAATAATACGAATCAAATATTCTGATATGATCCATAATTTTGTTATAGATAGCCAGTAATTAGGCTCATGATTGTTTTTCAATAGGAAAAGTTGACAATGGACATAATATTTACTTGATCAAATATAGCTGTTGGGATGGCCAATGTTGCACAAGCATTTGGAGCATCAACAATTCCAGATATTCTTCCTTCACAAGGACAACAAGATAGCAGAAGGTACACCTGGATAATGTTCAAGAAACATCAATTAGCCATAGGTTGTGTTTTTGTTGTCTGTGTTATGACATATACTCGGGGCCATTTTAAGGACGTGCAAGGCGGGCTACTGCACAAGGCTTCAAATTTGTCACGATTAAATCGTGGTTAAATAAGATCTCATAACATATTTGTCACAGTTAAATCATGATTAAACAGCGTCTCTATTAGTTTTGTCAAGGTTGAACTGTGACTAACTTACATAGGGCTTCAAAAACTTAAGACGACAGGGCATATACTTGATCCTTTTGATATGGAGTAAAATAACATGTATGCTTGGACTTTTTTAGTGTTGTGTTGTGAAGTTAAACCTGTTCTTTGGAGTAACCAAACTTGGATATGTAGTCAATAGCATTGAGTACTGCTCTTTTGTATGCAACAGTTGCATCTAGGTAGTGTTGCTTCCCATATTCATCCACACTAATGCCTTCAAACACTAACCACTCTGAGAATCTTGGTTCAACAGGGCCTATCTCAAATATTGGGTTCACATGAAGGGGAGTGGGGCCCATTGGTGTAAGGTACTCTTTCATTCCACCCCTTATAATATCACACCTGATAATGACATGAAAATAAAAAGGATAATTGTATAAATAAATGGAAAGTCCAAGTTTGCTAAGATTTGAATTAATGTAAGTTACGTAGTTACTTGAGTTCTAAGAAACCACTCATTTCAATTGCACCACATAGTGAGACCTCACCATCACCCTGTGAAAAGTGCATGTCACCAGTGCTGAGATTTGCTCCTTCTACAAAAACAGGAAGGTATACCTTTGAACCTCTGCTTAGATTTTTTATGTCACAATTTCCACCATTTTCTCTTCCAGGTATTGTTCTTGCTGCTTCCCTCGCAATCTTCTCCCATTCATCGGAACCTTTTTCAATCTACAAGCATGTCAAGAACAGGACCTCAAAATAACAAAAAGGTAGTCTTGTTTGATTTCATAATAAGCCAATAAAACATCGGTAGAAAATTTATTGAGCTAGTATTTGGAGAATGATATAAATTTATCTAGAGACGCATCATTACCTTTCCGAGGTGACAATTTATTGGTGTTGGTAAGTTTGCCAAAGGTCTGGAATGCAAAACCTCGCATAGTTTCAGAGACTGAAGACCATTTTCTGCAACATCTCTTTCCCTTTCATTCCATATGTTTAGAAGTTCCATTGATGGTGCAGTCCCAATTATACCAGGATGTGTTATCCCCGGAAACCTCACTCCTGTCCAACACAAATAATCTCATCAGTGGCAATTAAATGTGGTAGAATTGGTTAAATTTTGTTTATATTCGAAACTAGAAAAGCGATGTACTAGTTCTATCACCTGGTATCTGAGGCGAATAAGCATATATCCCTTCAAAGTACCAGATAGCTTTTGTGGCATGAGGAAAATGATCTGTCAAGAAACCGCCTCCGTTTTCTCTGTCAAATGTTGCTGTAAAGCCCCATTCATCACCAGGGAGAGGACCTAAGTTGCATATTTCAACAGCAAGCAAATCTCCAGGCATGGCTGGGAGGCCATCATTGTCCACAACTCTAATAGGCCCACTAAGGTAATGCACCTGAACCATTTACACCATCATCAAAATTAATCATCAAAAAACATATATATAGTTCACATACTGACATCACGTAACAATTTCGATCTAACGGTTCAAATCGTCGGGGCTAAAGTTACTTACATTCGAGAGGTCTACAAGTTTTATGTCTAGTGCTGAATTGTCATCTTTAATAGCACCTCCTGTCCAATCCACCATCTCTACTCTAAACATTTCACCAGTAATCACATCCACTACAGAAGGTATATAAGGGTGCCATCGATTATGAAGAGGAAGTTTCTGTTCCCATGGCTTCTTTTTCAGGTCTATCGGCACGACTAGTCTCGGAGTTGATGGTGCCATGGACAAACTAGAACAATGATTTCCAAAACATGTTGGACTTGGTCTAGACTTTAGATATTGTTTATTTACAATGTTTTGGCATTACTATAAGCAAGGGTCCATTTTTTCACTAGTGGGAAGGACCACATAGTGGACTTAACTTGTGCATGCTTGAAGATGTGATGTGTATTCTTTTTCAACTTTAGGATATACTATAGTTATACTATTATGTGTCATTATATATTTATGTTATTATATTATAGAATATTAAATGTTAAATAACATATGGAAATTTCAAACTCAGATCTATGCAGATAGATGATGTAAAGTTGAAATCATAAACATTTTACTAGCATGGTATGATCAAGCATGAACTAGTTTGAGGTAAACACTATGAAAACTGTGGTGTAATTAAAGAAGTGGTATAATTGAAAAGACATATAGAGGATGAATAAGGAACTCACTTGAGAGAGATCAACATGTTTGGCATCATCAGCAGTGGGATTTTTAGTGATAGCACCACCACTGAAATCTATCATCTCAACTCTGAAAAGTTCGCCGGTTGTCGCCTCTGCAACCGGCGGTATCTCCGGATGCCACCGGTTGTGAAGAGGTAGCTCCTGCTCCCATGGTTTCTTGTTTAAGTCTACAGAGACCAACAGTTTTGAACCTACACGAGCCATTTATTTGTGATGATGTTTTCACAAGGAGTAAACTGGTGTGTATATATAGGAAATTAGAAATAGTAGTAGTTTAGTGACTGAGGGATACCTCTATGTAAATGTGGTCTTTTTAATCATTGTGGTAGAAAAATCATTTTTAATCATGCACTTTGATAACTTTGATTTCTTATCCTCTTTTTTTCTATCTGTCTGTTTGTCGTGGACCACTTTGCTAGTGTTGTATTATTTGATTATCTATGAGTTTAATAAAATCATATCAATTCAATAAAATAACCTATCCTCTATTTTAAAAATTATCACAATTATTATTTCCTTTTTCTTTATTAGAAGATATAATTATTTTGTGGTCAGGGAAGATTCCAACCCTCACATTTAGAATAAGGTAGTAGTCATTTTACCAGCAAATTTGTGCTTCCCTTTTGATTACTCTTTCCCAGATTATCTATTAATGAACAAACTATCATCAATAGCAACTAGGGCAAGTTTAAGGTGGATTTTTCCTGCATAATTCACAAAATTAGGAAATTTCATAAGTTTACCATTCTTTCTCTCTACCTACAAATTTAATCTCTGCATTTTGTCATCTTTGAAAAGTCATAAATGGTTCCTCTCCAAAAAACCATAAATGGTTCTTTCAACATCTAGAAATGGTTCTTCTCCAAAAAAGTCATAAGTAGTTCCTTCAATACTTAGAAAATGGTTCCCTCCAAAGCACTGTGACTGAATAGGGAAAGACATCTATATTGATTGTTAATAATTCAATGTCAAGAGGAGAGAGAATGAATGAAAAACTTAAGAAATTTTTTTATATTGTGGATTATGCCGGAAAACTTCACCATTAGCTTGTCCTAGCCGCCGGTATGATAGTCTGATCATAAATAGAGAATCTTAAAGGAAATAATTAAAGGTAAACAATCATTTAAATATGAGATTAATTGTTATCCTGTCCGTGTAAAAAATTTTACATGTCAATACATTACAATTATTCGTTGATATTATTTTTCGAGTGATTAAGATTAAAGTCAAACCTTTTAAATAAATCAGCTGTTGTGATTAACTGATGTAAAAAATCTTTATATTGTCGGTACATATCAATTAAATTCTTTATATATAATAAATAATAATATTGAATATATACTTTTTAGTTTTTCAATTGAGGTAATAAAATTGTGTGACATGACGTCACAACATCAAAATAACCAATGAAATTGAGGTAATAATATTATTGTTTTCTTAAGTTATGTGATCATTTGTCTAAGTTATGTAATCGTTTGTCAAATATTAAGTTATGTTCATGATGCATCAATACAAGTTCCTAAACTTTATCTAATAAAAACTGTTGTGCAAATATCTGAGAAATGTTACACATAATATACAAATAATACATAAAAGTACTAATAATGTCTAAATAGGTCACCTGTGTGCTGCCTGTGATAATCAGGTAAAAACTTCACCATCTAGGTTTACCAAAACCATGAGGTTATCCATAATAACAACAATCATCTGTAGGCGTTGTTGGTAATCGACATCAGGTGGATGTGGCGGCGACACTATTGCACCCTAAAATTTGACCAACCAATTATTGTATTTGGCTTATGTTTTGAATTATTTGGCGTTCTACATTTACATACCGCATCCATTGCATTTTTGCAGTCAGACTGATTTTATCGGGATTACAGCCTCCCCTGGCGTTTCAGGCAGTTCAGGCCAGTTCGAATAAGTGTATTTTGAGATTTTGTGCCCGTCTCGGTGTTTTCAGCTCTCGCTGTTGTTTTTTAGGACATTTCGGTGTCCGATTTTTACCGCTTATTTCGCTATGGTCGCGTATCTGTTTTCTAATCGATTTAATTGGCCTTTCTTGCATTTTTAGATTTTTCTCTTAATTTCTGGAATTTTAATTGGGTTTTAATTGTGTCTCTAGAATTTTTAAGTAGATTTTATATGTTAATTGTTTTTTTAGATTTTATAGATATTAATAGATATTTCTTTTTTAAATAGTTTTAAATAGATTTTGTTTTTAGATATTAAGTAGATTTTTAATTGGTTTTTTTTATAGAGTTAATTGAAGTTAATGTTTTTTTTAGAATTAATTCATAGAAGTTAATTAGGTTTTAATCTTTCTTTAATTAGGATTAATTAGGATATTTGATTAGTGTTTTTTAATTACTTAGGATTAATTTCATTTTGCATTTTAATTGGATTTTAATTAGATAATCATTAGAGTCTAAGTCTGAAGTTAATAGAGCTTTTAGTCATTAATTGTCACTATTAATCTGCAGTAGTATTAATTTCGTTTTAATTAGGAGTCTTAATCCATTAGTTAATCCAGTTTTCAGTCAATTAACAGAGTCATTAAGTGATTGTGGGCCAGGTGTCTGATTATGGGGGCCCAAGTCCAGTATGTGTCATGTGTCACGTATATAAGCGTCCACGCGTGTCAATTTCCAGGCCCCACCTCATTCAGCACTCACCGCCAACTCACCCTGCCACTTGTCTCTCTCTCACTCTCACACCACGCCACTTGTCCGTTTCCCACTCTCCCTTGCTTGCATGCGCGCCACGCGTATCATCCACTACCCCCTCTCGCCGGAGTACATGCAAACGCCGGAGTTTCTCGCTGGTGAAATCACACGGCGGTTCCCACGACCAAACTTCGCCGGAAAACTCATACTATCACCGGAATCTTCATCTAAAATCCCTCCGATCCTCATCATGTTCATCATCATCTTCACAGACCCGTCCAAGATCTACCAACATTTCTCCAGATCGCGCATGAACTTCATCAGATTTTCCAGATCGCGTATGCTTCTTCATCAATTCATCATGAGGGTTTTTCCAGAAATCCTTCAACATATTCAAGAGTCTTCATCCGTTTCCAGAAGTTCTTCGCAAGATCCTCCAACAGATCTATCGAGATCTCATCGCGCATTCGCAGATCTGTTCGTCAATAATTTTGTTCATCAATCATCACCAGTTCGTCAGCGAACTTGTCCAGATCTTCAAGAACGTCCACCAGTCCTTCATCCGTTTCCAGAAGCCTCATCATGTTCTTCGTTTGTTCTCGATCCTCAACCAACTTCAAGAGCGATCGTCACATCTCCGATCCAGATCAACGCTCCTTCATGTTCAACATACGAGATCTTCATGAATGTTCATCCAAATCTCCAGATCCTTCAAGATCTTCAAAGATCTGTGAAGATCTTCGTCGCTTTCGCCCTCACACCTTCAAGTGCTCTTCCTCCGTTTCCAGAACTTCATGATCTCCCTTGACATTCATAGAGCTCCGCAGCTTCTCTCCAGATTTTCATCCCTCATCTACGTCACAGATCTTTAGAGAACGAGGAAGCTCCTTCGTTTATATCATCAGGTCATCGCGCGCTCTCCAGATCTTCGTTGATCTTCCAAACACCATAGACGTCATAGCAACTCCTCAGAACTTCAAACGAACTCCAAAAACTAACTCTTCACTAACAGATCTTTGACTCACACGAGCTTCTGGAGGTAACTGGTTTTGATGTCAGTCAGATTGATTTCAAGATGAACGGATTGATGAGGAATGAATAAGGATGATGGGAGGTTGAAACGACGTAGGGGTTGACGGCGGAATGTGAGAGGAAGATGGAGAAGAGAACTAGGGTTCTGAGTATGGAGTGGGAGAGGGCTCAGTGGGTGGAGTTTGGGCCTCAGGCCCAACGAATTTTTGGACCAAACCCCCATGTGTCCTATTCACACCCCCGTTCACATTTTTTTTCTTTTTTTTGTTGAGTAGCGATGGGCTGGGCCCAATAACCGTGTTTGTTGGACCACATACTCCAATTCCTGCGCAGCACCCCCCTGGGACCTTTTTTTTATTTTGTTTTTTTCTGACTTTATTGTATTGTGGGCTTAAAGCCCAGAGTGGTTTTTTTTTGCATACCCCAGTTTTGCAGTTTGTACCCCCTCCCCTTTGGATTTATTTTTTCCTCTTGTATTGGACATATGCTTGTAATAGTGTAGATTTTATTTTCCTATTTTCTTTTAGGGATCATTTTCATAGTTAGAATATTACTATAGATGTTTAATATAGGATTTATATTCCATTGTTTTAGAATAATGTAGAATTTTCGTTCTATTTTCCTTATAGGATATTATAGATTTAATATAGAATTTTATTCTAGTTTTCTTTATAGAATATTATAGAATATTTTAGATAGAATTGTTTTTATGCTATTGTCATATGCATTTCCTTTTAATTTCTTTAGAATATTTTCTAGTAGAATTTAATTGCCGTATATTTAGGAGTAGCATTTTATTTCCATTTTGTCGTTGGATTTCTCTCCTATTTTCTTTTCTATCCGATTTTATCTCGATTTTATTTCTGGCTGGCCGTGTAACACGATTCAATTGGAGAATGGTTGTCGATATCATTTCTCTATCTTTTCTTTGACACGGACATCAATACGCTACCTCTTAGAGTTCGATTTCTCGTATAAGTCGAACCATGACGGTCTAAGCATTACATTGTTTCTGATTCGAGCGTCCTCATCAAGGATCCAGAGAGGAGAAGATTGGAATGGAGCTTGCGCGCATGTCGAGAGCCAACGGAGCCGCTTCGTTCAACATCATCATCTTATTCAAGTCTTTGTGCAACCGTCGAGTGTTGTGAGCTGCATCGTTAGATACATAGGAAATGACAGTTGAGGAGTTTCTTCTCAATCGTCTAGGATGTCTAGTATGGTACCCTTTGGGTGACATGCGACGCATTCGCTCCTACGTCTTAGGTTCTTGCGTGTGTGTCCCGAGTTCCCTCCTGTTTAGGCGTAGGCCTGCTTCTTCTTTGTTCTCGCCCCCGTGCGATCGAAACCCCTTTTCTCTCGCGTTCAAGCGATCGAGACCCCTTCTCTTGCCCCCGTGCAATCGAGACTCGTTTTCCCGTCGAACTACGTTTGCTCTGATCTCTCGTACCAGACGAGAGTACGTAGGCATAGGATGCGATATCCTAGCGAGCTCCCTTTTACCTT